ATACTGTTAACTTTTTATAGGAACTCTCCTTTTTTTAGGAAGCATGGTTTCGATTTTACTGGTTGACTGTCCACAACCTTGATGTTTGTAAACATTGAAGGAGTCAACTGATTTTTTGCTAATGATACTCTACTCCGATTGGTCTTTCAGCGTGGTCGTGCATGCACAAATATTGTGAAATTCGTGCGGATGAAAGATGACATCAATAAAAGAAGCTATTTTCCTACTTTCTAAATTCGTTTGAAACCTGTATTTAATTACATTTTTAAACTACCTGAAGGTTATTTTCAAGCCCGGTATTTGTCTAGTGAGGAATTCGTCATGCGTCAAGTTACTTGACTTGTTACTGTGGTGACAAGCTGCTTTATCAATTGGGACTCATTAAGCTAGGCGGTAATCGTGTTCACAAGACAGCAAATCACGAATGCGCTTTTTTTAATAAGGCGTTCTACCCTCATAGAAGTCACGTGGATTAGTGTCGATTAAGAAATGAGACCGTGAGAGTCAAGCAAAGCCAATGCCAATCCTTTGGCAAGATCACCAGTTGGATTTCTTCCCAATAAAATAATAAATAAGGGCTGTATTAATAAAACATTTGTGCATTTATTTAATAAAAGATGACTATCATTGGTTATGCGGTAGAAATTAAAAATACCACTGAAAATTGATCGTTTAAAATTTCAGGATAACTGCTAGAACGCAGTGATTTCCTAGCATTGATTATCTAGAGCACGCAACTAAGCTAGCTCAGCACGAGGCACGGTTTTACCACTATAGCCGCTTTATTTAAGTTTGAATTTTTAAAGCACGAGTGCTTAAATGTTGGTCCAATTGCAGTCACCGTGGGCATGCTTAGTCCGCTTTGATTGCTGGTCATAAAAGCTAGCGCGCTCCACCGTCAGAGAATGTCCTTCTAGCATCTAATTAATTATTTTAGGGGCATTAACACTTGGGGCTACAACGTCACAGCCAAGTTACTAAAACGTAGTAATAGTTAAATGCATCAACTTGAAATTTTGTGCTCTTAGCTGAAGAGTGAGAACACCTGCGAGTGACCGATTAGGTTCAGTTGGTGTACTTTCAAGCCAAGTAGAGCAACGAGGTAAAGAGAATTTTAAATCGATATTCGTGGTGTTTTACCCAGCCGACGCCTTTTTAGGCGGAAAAGTAATTTCTAAATCTGCATTGCGATTTGGACTTAAATTTATTTTAAAAAGCACCATATTTTCAATTATTTTTAGTCAGTATTGTGTACATTTTTTATACTTGAAAATAAATTATGAAGTTAATCCTGTCTGCACAAACACGAGTTCCAATGTCTCGTTCAAGTAAATCTGTGTACTTCGTGAAAGACCTTGCCATATAAATTTGTTCCATTTGCAACTTGATAACTAGCCTTTTATGGGTCATGGGTAGTCAAATAAATTTCTTTTAAATTGGTCGTGTTTCATGTCCAACGCATTATTTAATAAATTCCCTTAATCTGTTATGTTTGTTGCTTACAAATAAGAGAAATTGTACAAGCGTCATGGGGAACGTTTAAGTCAGCGACATTTAAGGACCAATTCTTTTAAACTTGTGGATAGTCTTAGTATCCACAGTATGACAAAAGTAATCAGTTGATTTTACTAACTTGTCAATTGAATTTTTTTACTACGTTTAGCTCTCTAATCCGAACAAGGGAGTCAGAAGTGAATAGAGTAGGAAAGTGAATTAATTTGATGACGAATCAATTGTCACATACACTGAATATGCATACTTGATTTAAAATTACTGGTTAGGTGCGTCTTGCCTCTGGCATGACTATCAGCTGTTAAGAGTGCTACAAGGATCATAAGTTACTCATTTTCTCAGCTAAAAAATATAATATTTTGAAAATTTAGTTGCTTTTGCACCTGGACCTATCTAATCAGAGTGACATGAAGTTATTTCTTCGACCATTTGATGAAACATCTGCAGAGCTAGCGAAACTTATCAACATTGATGGAAGTTTTGTGCGTTTGACATTACTCACCTTTGCTTCGTCTAACTGCGACTATCTGCACACACTCTCGTCCAGAGATCGGCCATTCACTCACCTGGTTCAGACCTGTATCCTCCCGTTTTTCATTACAGTCACAATCGTCACCAACACTCTCCTATGTATAACCTTGAATCAGCCGACAATGCGAACACCCACCAACTTTTTTTTGCTTACCATTTCTCTGGCAGACCTATTCACGGGCCTGTTGCCCTTGCCGGTGTTTGTTGGATTTCTAACTAACTACTTCGACAGTGATCTGACTTCGGGGAAGGCATATCTCACATATTACTGTACTGTTGCTCTCCCAACAGTACTACACACCATCTCCATATGGCTTACAGTACTTCTTGCCGTGCAACGACTGATCTATGTGGCGAAAACCCTCTCTGTCCACACCTACTCAATTTGTCAGTTCCGTGGAGTAACGCTGAGTGTCGTCGTTGTTGTCATATTAGCCTTATTGTACAATTTAAACAATTTTTTAACCACATTTAATGCTGGCATAGTGGTCTGCACCAAAGCTCATGGGGCAATTACGGAGGTAAAGGAAATACTACTCAAGTGTACACCTATAAAGACAGCATTACAATTTGGAATCTTACTGCTGCGTGCTTTCACAGTCCACATTGGCCCATGTTTACTACTGTGCGTCCTAACTGCCTATATGTTGGTGGCTCTCAAAGAAATTGCAAAGAAACAAAGTGAACTGCTTAAAAGGCGCAGCGGAATGCAAACGCTCGTGGATTCGTTGAGAACTGCTGACAGTTACGCAGAGGAGGAGAAGGAGAAAAAACCGCTGAGAGTTTCAAGAAAGAGAAGGACCAGTAATAGAGATGCTTACAAGACTTCGCGAATAATGTTGGTGGTCTTACTGCTTTTTCTCGTCGTTGAACTCCCAACAACCGTACTTGTTGTAATGTACGGAATTTTGATCGCATTCAAAGCAACACCACCGGCCTTTTTTGCAGAGGTAAATTAAGATATATTTTTGTCTTTTTTTATTGTTTAGCATGGACGTAGTTAATAATGATTTTTTTGCCTTTGACGACAAGCACACAAACTGCTGGCATTATAATGGTTTTGGCTGTCAACGTTGTGAAACACGTAAACTGGCTAGTAGTTTACGTGTTGCTTCAGCTTTTTTGGCAAAATTCAATGTAGCCAGGTTTAACGATGCCCTACAGAGCAGGTAGTGCTCTTTGCTGTCCTGACATTGTCTTTCGACGCCTTTACAAATATGGTTTTATTATTTATCCGCCAAAGTGTGTTTTCGGAGGTTCAGAATTTGAATTTTTAGTACTGAAATCTGCGGTGCAGGTTTAAGGCCAACCAATATTAAGATAAAAGAGATTCATAATGCCCAGAGTCGAAATCCACCAAGCAATTTCGTCGTTTCTTGGGCATGACCAATTTCCACCGCCGATTCCTACCCAATATAGTTCAGACCCTTCTACCTCTAACCAATATGCTCAAAGATTACTCTACAGATCTCACAATGAAGCTTTTACAGCCGCAAAGGAGGCTTTGGCAACGACAGCCACTCTCGTATATCCACGATCAGATGCCCCCCTGTCACTGATAACTGATGCGCCCCTTTAGGCAGCTGGAGCAGCCTTACAGCAAACCATCGGCGGGTCAGCTCAGCCACTGGCTTATTTTTCAGCCAAGTTCAATGAAGCTCAAAGGCGTTACAGCACTTTCAGTCGCAAGCTGCTGGCTATCTACCTGGCTGTCAAGCACTTCAAGTATCTTCTTGAGGGTCGATAATTCACGATTTACGCCCACCACAAACCCCTGAGCTTTGCAAACAGTTGGAGTTCGGATTGATTATTACCAAGGAAATCAGGACACTTGGATTATATTTCACAGTTTTAATTGACATTCGTCACATCCAGGGCAAGGACAGTACGGGAGCCGATGCACTATCTCGTTTGCACGTCGACGCTGTAATACACGTACACATGTGGATTTCGACGTTTTGGCAATTGCTCAGCAATCTGATGAAGAATTGCAAGAATTCCGAAGACAAAATACAGCCTTGAGGCTAGTTGAAGTCCCTCTACATTCATCCACAAGTACAGTCATCTGCGACATTTCAACGGGTGTGCAACGCCCTTTCTTACCAAAGCCAATGCGACGCCAAGTGTTCTAAGCCCTTCACGGTCTTGCTCATTCTGGTATGCTTGCTACATGGAAGTTCATCTCATGCTGTTATGTTTGGCCTGCTATGAGTCGCACTGTTTCACAGTGGAATAGAAATTCCGTAAGCTGTCAAATGTCGAAGATAAACAAACACAGCAAGAACCTCTTGCGCACTTTAACGTCACTAATCCTAGGTTTGATCATGTACACGTTGACATTGTTTGACCCTTACCACTCTCGAAAAGTTTCTGTTGCCTTTCGTCTTGCATTGACCGTTTTACCCTATGTCAGAACGCTTTTCCAATGCAAAGCATCTCCACCGAAACCGTAGCTAGAACATTCGTTGACAGATGGGTTGCCTTATTTGGAGTCCCCTCCACCATCACCACAGATCGAGGAACGCAGTTTGAATCAAGCCTGTTCCAAAATCTCACATGATTTCTGGGGACGAACCTTATTAGAACGACCTCCTACCACTCTCAGTCAAATGGCATGGTAGAACATTTTCACCGGCAAATGAAAGCCGTTTTAACATCTCACAGTGACCCATCACGTTGGTCGGATGTGTTGTCCCTCGTGCTACTCGGTATTTGATCAGCTGTAAAGGAAGACTCGGTTTCTTCCTCTGCAGAAATGGTATTCGGAACAACATTAAGAATCCCCGGGCAATTTTTCACGGCAACATCCTCACCGTTATGGTCGGACACAAGCAGCTACGCCGACGGTTTGATGGAGGCAATGAGCAAACTGATATAAACACTACCTCGCTCATCCTCCACTTCATGCTACATCACAAGAACACTGTCCTCTTGCAATCGTGTTTTTATCAAGCACGATGCCGTTCGTCGACCATTCCAACCCACGTACGATAGATCTTTCAGGATACTCAGACGAGGAGAAAAGGTTTTCGTCGTCGAACGAAATGGAAAAGAAGACGTCGCCAAGCAGCAAACCTGAGATGCAGCTAACTCCCATCCCGTCTAACAATAAAGAAACGATCACCACTACACGCTATGGTCGGCGCGTTCATTGCCCTGTTCGTTATACCGCCTGACCACCCCCCTTGTTTTCATATCCTGATCATTGTCTCAAACACGATCCACCTCATTTTTTCGAATCTCGCCTGTTTTACAGCATTTGGGTTTCAATTTCGCGTAAATCTCGTCGGTCCTCGACTCTTAGGTGCTAGCTCCCAGGTTCCAAACTATTCTAGGACACCGCGAGTCGACTGCAGAGTACTTACGACCCACCCTGCAGAATTCCTGTTAGAAGAAATTATTCGCCAATTCCTTTTACTAAGGGGAATAGCTGTGGGGAGCAGCAAGCCAGCACTGTCAGCAAGCGTGAGCGAACACGATTCAATAGATTTTCTTGAATGCTCTTCACGCAACAACGTGTGCTCAGAGATCGACGCTTAGTGAAGCTACATAAACGCACTTGTTATCCTGTACAATAACACACAAGAAGTAGTTAGTTGACTTGACTTGTCTGTCGTGACGCTAATAAACGGTCGTGTTCTCTGTCGGCCCTTTGGGCTTCGCTCTCCTTGGATTGTTACCGGCTGTTAACCAAAGGGTTGTGCGGTAGTGCCTAAATCGCCCGTTTCAGGGAATATTGAGCAGCAAGCTTCGCCTACGCGTGCGTGTGTGGATGCGCACTGCGAACTCCTCGTTATATAAAGCACACAGTGGAATTTGGAATGGCGATTATGAAATTGGAAGAAACCGGTTTGTGTGTGTGTGTGTGGTACGCGGTGGTTGTGGATGGAAGGGGTGAATAAAAATGGTGCTTGCGTAACGACGTACTTGGTTGGTGGCGCGTGCACTTTGTATTTAGGGGATGCTTGCAGCCAGAGAGGCTGAACACTGAATGATGCGTGATGCAAGCCATGCGGTACTTTGGCCTCCTTAAATAGATTCAAAACCTGTTGGTTGCAAATGGAGTTATTTCATTGTTTGAGTTGCTATTGTAGATTTTTATGTAGTAGAATGTTTTTAGGGATATCAGTGGCTGTTACAACCAACTGGCACTCTTCGTTTTTGTAGCCCATTTCTAATGTTTCTACAACATTTTTAATTTTTTTGCCTCAAATCCAATTCCGAAACCGATTACTCCACGCTTATTTGTAGTGTCTGGACAGTGAAATCCATTTTACCAAATAATTCAGGCAAACAACCCCCTCTACTAATCTCGAGGGACCTTTTTTTGCTTTTGGTCAATTTTAAGGCTACATCTCATGTCTTCTAAAACGTTTACGTTTTATGCGACCTCCAAGTTGACTTTAAGTATAAAATGACAACTATGCAAACAGCGTTGTTCCCAGTATCTTTGTCAGCAAACAACGTTATTCCAATGTCATTTGTGTTGCGACATTGCTTTGCTGTTTGATTGATATCAGTCACAAATTGGTAGCCTTGTTGTTTTTAATTAAAAAGCCCAGCTTTTCAAAGAAATAGCTTGTAACTCTTAATGCTTCCGGCGACAGTTGAAACAGTGCACACACAATGTACTTAAATCTTGTTAATGCTGTCAAAATCATGGCTAAATTCAAAGAGTTGAGTTTGCTTGAATGTATGGTAGATTTAAGTTAATTGCAATAAAATGCATGAGTGTTTAATACCATGACATCCACAAAACCCGTGCGTAGACAAAACCAAATGCAGGCACGAAAACACCCTCATGTTAACTGACAATATTGCATTTCTTGATAGCATGTTTATGATTTAAACTTTGATTCCTTCAACTGAAAAATGGGTCCATTAATAAGCGTCTTTGCCCATTTCCTTTTCCAAAATGCCAAGCTTCACTCTGTTTGGTGCTCTGTTGGTTTACAAGTGCAGTAGTTTCGGTCAATATTTCAAGTAGGTGACGGACACTATATTTTGCCATGATTTTTTTTTAACATTCGTGCTTATTTGTCAAATATAATTCGCATTAAAGGAGAACAGGCTATCGAATAAAGCAAGTTACTAAACCAAACAACAGTCGTAAATCGCAAATATGGACAGGTTTTTCAATAGGCAGTTGAGGATAATTTTAGATTAACTTCTGGTAATGCAAGCGATTTAATAGTCATGTGTCTTGTTGACTCTCAAGCAATGTCTTTTTCAACATTTGATTTGGCCACTGTTTTGACCGTGGGATTTTAGTGCCAAGAAAAGTCCGGAACCCAGCACCTAAACGCTGCGTTTACACTGAATCGCTTATTGCTCCTTGTCCTAAACAAAGTCGGTTAAAAACTGTACCAAATTCTGAAAAACCAGAGAACTGGGAACAATAAGTTTATGACCTTGAATTTTTTTCTCCCCCACTGTTTTTACATGTCACGTGGTCAAATTCAGAATGCACTTAAAGGCCAAGACTTAGGCAATAAGAACAGGTGCCTGATCGCACTACAACATTAGTCAGTACAGAGTACCAGGACACAGAATAATCGTTGACAAAAGTACTCAACTTCCCGGTTCAAGCTTTTCAGAACTATCAATCCATCAAGTTGGCTTTTGGTTGCGTTTCAGGTTCGTGAGGTGTGTAATCTCCTAATTGTCTTCTCGTATCCTTGTAATTTTGTGATCTACTTTGCCATGTCAAAACAGTTCCGAATCAATTTCGCATCTCTGGTTTCTGGATGGTATAAGCGGAGGAAAAAGGAACTCATCGAAACGGACATTTCCTAGATCACCTATGACTACTGTAAAAGTTTTTTCTTTATTCTTGAATAAATATACTTGAAACAACTGATTTTGTTGGTTAAATTTTTTGCTGGGATTCGATGAACTTGGACTTCCTACGTTTAGAATAAATAGGTAAAGGCATATTTTGGTCCATCTACATTTTGATGTTCCATGATTTTAAATATCACCATGGATTTATTAAAAGTTAAATATAGGAATCCAGATCATATTTACAAAAATTTAACTTCTTGATTGTGTGACAAAAGTCTTATAGAAGCAGAACCAGATATGATTAAGATTTCTGTGAAAAAATAAACGCCATTTATAAACCTGATCAAATACCTAGAGGTCGTAAATACATTGTTCTAGTAAACCACCCGAGAAAAAAAATGTCGGCAGCGTTGAAAACGAAACAGCTGTTTTTCGGGTGGTCTGGGTTGCACTGACAAAATACGATCGTTATTGTCTTTTGTTTTGTAATTTGGTAACAAAACGAAAAGGGGATTTTGTAAGTTGCAGACGAAAACCAACTCACCGGCGTCGAGTTTTTTTGTAAACACCGCTTCACAGAACACTGCTGAACCGCGCACTGCAGCGCGGCCTCATTATGCGCTACTAAGGGCAACGGCAGCAAAGCTCGATCCAGGATTTAACCAGTCATTGGCTCGAGTATCGTAAAACTAATTCCATGAAAATGTTTGCAGCTTCTAATGCAAGTATGAGCCCACGTTTTTAATGGTTAGAATGGACTTTGACGAGTTGTACATCTGTCATATTCTCCAATAACCCGAATTAATCTTTATCGAAGCTTCGCTGTTTCATGCTTAAACAACATTTGACTCCCGTGCCTACAAACCTAAACCATTCAAAGGTCTGTGTAAACTCCTAAAGAACGAGCAGTCCAATGGTGCAAAGCCGAGGGGTCCCATGGAGGATGCGCTGTGACCTCACAAACATGTTACTATAGCCCTCGACGGATCTCAAGAAATGAGTGGGGCCCTACCTTGCCCTGGTGGTACGTGGGTTCTTTAGGACCTGCTGATTCTGGTTGGTTTCCTATACTGAACAAATCCACTTCAATCGGTCGATTGGTCTCTTAAAGCACTTTTATAATTCCTCCAAATTTTCACTACTATTCTTCAAATTCGATTTTGGTTTCGTTGTGATTTTGATCATGCTTGGACCGCAGTCACAAATAACTACTCCTTTATCATCACCAATAAATTCACATTAAAACGTAAAAGAGGCACCAGCATTTATTGGTTTTGTTGACTGAATTTCTCCCAATTATTGGGAAAACCAAATATAGAAAGGCTGAATGAATTTGTGACACGCCAAGTGGTTTTAAACTGCTCTTTGTGGAAATAAATCTATCCGAATTAAATATCAATGCGATTCATGCATGGCTTTCTGTTAGGTACTTAATTCTAAACAACCCGCATATTTCTCTGTAAGTTTTGCAAGTTTGCTTGGCTTTAATGGCAAAAACTATAACGCATTGGAGAAATTATAACATGAACACGAGTCCTTTAAAAGCAAAAAACTATGCTTTTCATGAAAACCGAAAGTACTTTCTTTTTAGCTGTTATCTCTTGTAAAAAAATGTATAACAAACTCGTAAAAATCACTTTTAGGAGAATAAGTAATTTATGTATATTAGTAACAATGTTTAAGCACTTATCAAAAGGTACCATTTATTTTAACAGGCCCACAAAGATTGTGAAAATGAACATCTTACATTTTACGACATTTCAAGTAGAGACCAAGTAAGTTTAAAGATAAGAAAATAGGTCAAATTACTTTAGCACAGCACTAATCTTCATGTTATTCTAACTTCTGCAAAATAAATCGACTAAGTAAAATGATTCGATTTGGAGGAGTATTTTAGACTTCGTTTGTGGTTAGTTAAAATAGTAAGGTGATGCAACGCAAATTTGTGGCCCTTCGAAGGTCGCGTGACTCGTGGTGGTAGCTTATTTGCACCGTCAGTTGTTCTTTTCTGAAAGCTAACCTTCAACCTGATATATTAAAGTAGGTAAGGGAATCTGAGACAAGCAAATGTTATCTGTTAGTATTTCATCTCCATGACCCGAAGTTACGACATGGCTACGGGGAATGTTAGCATCACACACGACCCCCGTTAACGCAGCTTGGTACCACGTGGCTGTCATTTTGCATTACAAATTACTATTTTTGTTACATTCGTGTGGTTTACTTGGGTTTGAAGTTATCGTGTACACTCGCTTCCAATGAGGCCACCCTGAACGCCAGGTCAGGCAAGCCAATAAAATCACATTAAAAACTAGAAAGTACAACTAGAGCAGTAAACCGTCTGTGGAATTGGATGTCAGAAATAAATGAGGTCACGTGATCCCCTTAAAGT